GTAAATTTAACCATATATGCAAAATTTGATCATTACTCTCTTTAGTAATCTAAACCATATGAATTAATTTGTCCATTTTCTTTCAGCATTTCCATTAATCAATCTTTTGTTTTCATTCAACCTTATGTTCTCAAGAAAAAGATTATTGATGGTAGCTAAAGCCTTGAATCTTTTCCCAATTAAACTATATATGTCTACATTACTAAACATCCAATTATTGAAATTTTCTATCTTATTTTGTTATACTTCACTACTTTTGCTCTAATCATCATTTAACTATCCAATGCCATGCAATGTTCTTTTCAGTTATTATATTAATAATATTTGCTTCAATAGTGTAACTCCCCTAGAAGAATCATCTACCCTTAGTAATAGCTTGTATCCTTAGAAATCATAGTTGATGAAAAAAAAATTCAAGATGTTAAGGAAATCAAAATTCCACTTCATAAATATTACATTAGGCCAAAAATAATTATTTGTGTGGTTGTTATTTTTTTTAGTGAATGCCCATGAAAAAATTCATTAACCAACCATTTTACCAAAAAGATTACATGTTAAAAAAAATTATTGAAATTTGCACTGCAGCACATGAAAAGCACTACCATGGATTTATTACTCAATAGCTAATATCAAAACTTAATGAAAGACTTACCTTTATTACAAAAGGGTTTGAACAAAATTTGTGATCTTATTGAAATTAAGAAACACATAAAAAATGTAACTAAAATTATATCAAATTTACTTATCTGTAATAAAATGCTAAAACTCATATGATCATGTCTAAGAAAAACATAATAATGAAAATAATTAAAAAGTGAAATGTTTTCAGTATTATACTTTTTGTTTTTTTTTTCTAATCAACCTATGCTTATTGTTTCTCGGTTTGATGTTTACTTCAGTTCAAGCATGAAAAAATTAATGCCATCATGAATGATTTTGTTGAACTTGGATCACTTGCTCCAACTGGATTGTACCTTGGTTGCATACAATATATGGAGACCCAAGGTGAACTAGAAGCAATTATTCAAAAAAAGAAGGTGATGTTCTCCAACTATTATTTATTTTTTTCTTTGTTTATAACATTGAAAAATCTCATATGCACATGCAGCTCTTGACATCACGTTTAATGCCATGATTTTGTTTTTTTCTTTTTAATACATGTTAATTTATTTTTATCTTTGTTATGATTTTATTTTTGTTGTACAACAAAGTTACATAAATTAGTTTGATAGATAACATGTTAATGGGTTCTTTTAGGTTGGGATATACCATTCACAACTTCCTTCGTAAAGATACGTGACTTTGTTTGCTTTATGATTTTATTTTATTTCACTTAGACATTGTTTTTATTATTAAAGGTTTTATTGTTGCTTGGATTTAAAGAGGTTGATTATCCAGTTCTAGAATCAGAGGCTTGTTCATTAGGAAGGCAATGAAGGAGATTAGAGATCATGTTTGCCTTTTTTATTATTAAATTGTGTTTAATTATGGAACATGTTTGATTTGATTAGTAGTTAAATTCTAATAAGTAGACAAGGGGAAAGCTAAGGTTCTAATGTGTATCTAACAACAAACATTCTAACTAAAATAGCTAAATTTATTTGAGTAGAGGATACTTACAATTATTTATGAAAATGAGATATGTTCTATTAACAAAAAAATGGTTCTAAAAATGTAAAAATTTGATGCTAACTTTGACGGTATAAGAGTGAAAGTATTAAGAGTATGCATTTTTCCATGTTTCATGTACATTTTTGTTTGTTTTTGGACAAGGTTTCAATTATTGTTAATTTCTAAAAGATCAGTATATTTATAAATAAGTTTTAATTTCAGGGATTTAATTCTGTAAACATTATATATGAGACTTTCAACATTGTGTGAACTGTGACCAAAGAATATTCTTTTTTAGCTAATTTTTCCTCTCACATTGTAGAAAAATGATGATAGTTCTGATGAAAGTAAAGATGAACAACTTACAACTAAAAAGGTCAAATTTTCTTGATCATCTATATTTCTCTAAATATTTCATTGGTATCAATTTACTAAGTTGTCTAATTCTATAAATTGTATACAAGGTTACTTTAAATAGTGAAAAAGATGCTAGAGTTGTTACAAAAGTAAATAGTAGTGAAGATGAAAAATTTGAATAATCGTCCAATGATGATGAGCAAAATGATGAAGAAACTTCAAAGAAAAAAGTATGGATATTTGGAATCACTGTCTTTTGCTTTATACTTTTGAAGGGTTGATGTGATGATTGCCTAATGTATTGTTGTAATTATATATTAGAATCAAGACATAGATGTAGAAATGATGGATGCTACAACACCATAGAAAATTGCTAAGCTGCAGGATTTGAAGTGTGCCAAGAAAGCTATAAGTTCCAATTTCCCTTTTAGTTTCTTTGAAAGCTTACCATCTTTATTACTTTTTTTGCTCATTTTGTCAAATAGGTTACAAACTCATGCGATTTTTTTTTTTACAACCCTAAACTCCTACATCTCTTTAAGTTCAAACTATAGGATCAAAGATACTCTTTGCTAGAAACTTACCTTTTTAAGTTGAATAAAATGATATGTACGTTTAGGTTTTTGGCTCGCTCTGAATTGATTTATTTTATTTTATTTTCATTTGATCAATATTATTCTACAAAAAGAATTTTTTTAAAGATGCTAATGAGATTGTGGACATACATTTTTCCATTGATGCTGAAAGAAATTTTAAAGGGTATAGACATGTTAAATTTACTACTGCAGAGGATACACAGAAGGTAGATTTCTTTTTTCATTTTGGATTGCACATGGATGTTTGATGTATAAACTAAATTTTTGTTTATGCTTTCTATAAATAATTACATGCTTGTGAATATGATATAGAATAACTATAGGCAACATGTCAATCTTTATTGGATATGTATTATTCCATACTAAGCATTTTTCAAAAGATTCACTTAGAATAACACTTCAAATGAATTGATCAATGCCTCATTCCTAATCTCCTCATGTAAGTAAACAACACTTTGGTTTTGAATTTTCATAAGTATTTATTTATTTTTTTGTTGTTTTCAATTATTACCTTTTCATTGCTCGATTCAGATGAATGCAATTTGGATTAGGTTAGTCATATTTTTAATTGCTTCAAATTTACTTTAGGTTGTCAATTTTGATTAATTTAAATGCTTTAAATCATGTCTTGATATAGTAACTTCTCATTATCTTCATTAATTGGGCATGATTTTTCCTATGAGTTTATTAGTTTTTTTTTGCTTTTGAAAAAAGCTATTTGTATTTTAAATACTTCATGTTGTTATTTTATATATTTAAATGGGTTTATAGTTTACATGTTCTGAGATAATGAGAAATTATCATTATATTATTGAAGGCTTATGGAGCTCACTTTGTAAAAAATAAGCAAAGGCTATTCAAATTAATTAAAGAATCTCAATTTTAATGGGGAATCTGGGTCAGAACCATACACACCAACTGTCCAAAGTTCAGGAGGCCTGACTACATCTTATGGGTTGCATTTTTAAGAGTTCAGGGGTTTTTGGTGCTAAGTTTTTGGATCTTCATGCTGTGGATGATACAGAGCTTCTGTTTAATGTATGGTTAGAGGACATTGCACATAATTTTGTAGGAAAGTTCCACAATCGTTGATTGCTTGAAGTTTTGATTGATTTCATGCAACTTTTTTTTTTCATTTTTGTGGTGAAATGTTAAGATATTTCTAAACGTTGTTCTTTTTTTTTATATATTTTCTAATTCAATCAAGAATTCACTTCAATTTAAGTTTAGAGAGCATTTTTTTCTTTTTCCTTTGAAAATAAATTTTGATTTGATTTATTTTTAGCATGTTATTTCAAAACCTTTTTGAGTTATCACCATTCATGCCTAGTGTTAATAAAGCATTTGAAAATGAATTTAATGTGACAACTAGCTAGCAACAAAAAGAACAAAGTGATGTGATGCCTTCTTTTCATTATTTTCTACTAATGAAAAAGAAATCATTACTAGGAAAAATAATGTTGCAAAAAAAGCCCTCGGCAAAATGAGGGCAAAAATCTAGTAATGAATTAGATAGAAGTCAAATCCCTAATCAATAGATTATTTTTTTTATTTTTATCAATTTTTATCCTTTCAACCAAACATATATAGCCTCAAATGTCGCATTTAGAACAAAAAGGAACGCATAATGTAAGTAGTGACTAATAGAGTTTTTAGAGGAATATCACATATCTTGAAGTGGTAATTGCTCATGTTAAATCACTATGAGTTGAAAAAAATGTTTTAACTTAATTTTGGGTTTAGATTTTTAAAATTTGTTTAAAATTAACATATTTTGAATTTGAATTATTTTAATTTAAATTATTAAATTTAAAAATTAAATTAAATTAATTTTAAATTATTTTGAATTTGATATAATTTAGATTTGAGTAATTTTAAATCCAGATTGAATTGATTTGAGTTGTCAATTTTTTTATTAAATCAAATTGAATTAATTTTGAATTTGGATGAATTAAATAAAATTTTGAATTAATCAACTTTAAAATTTAATATAATAAAATGCAATGGTACATATCGTGAAATTTAAAATTTTTAATTAAGTATATAATTGAGTCAAATCAAGTTCATACACTATTAGCTCTGAGTTTAACCTAGCTTGAAAACTTAAGACTTGAAGTTTGAATCACGTTCAATCGAATTTTAATTTTTATGTTCAAACTCAATTTGTAATCTAATTAAACTGCTCAAATTTAATTTGATAAATTTGATTAAGTTCAATAATATTAAAAATATTAACATTATAAATTATATTTTGCTCATTCACACATATATTAAAAATAAAAATTTAATTAAATTTGTGAGTAATTTGAGATAGATAATTTGAATTAGGCGTGAATGAATGAATCTAGCTGAAATTTTTTAAAATATTGAGACCAAATAACTCATAATTAGTTTAACACGTTGATACCCTACTACCTATTGTTGTGTATAAAAAATATGAAAAAGACGAAAATGGAAAATTGCAATCACAAGATGAGAAGAGAAAAATTGTGGACATAAGACATACACTCACTCTCTTTCTCTTTGCTCTTGCGAACCCAAACTTAGTTTATCAACTCACTTTCTGTGGCCATGCAGTCCCCTGCCCCCTTAGCTGTCTCTCTCCCTAGCCTCTAATTTTCTCCTCTTGCAATGGCTATTGCTTTCCACCATAATTACCATTTCACCGCTACTCCCATCTTCGGCCGTCGCAATTCCCCGTCACCACCTCCCATACTCCTTCGCCCCAACAACCCTCTTACCCTTTCCTATCGTTTCGCTGATAAGCAATGCAGCAGCAGTAGAATCACGTGCAAAGCGACAGAAATATCTTCTGTGGGCGAAGAATCAGCGGCGTCGGGCAGTGGTGGTGAGAACTGGGTGCCGGTTGTGCCGGTGGCAGCGCTGCCGAAGGGAGAGCGGCGCGTGATCATACAAGACGGGGAGACCATACTGTTGCTTTGGTATAAGGATGAGGTTTTCGCTATTGAGAATCGTTCGCCTGCTGAAGGCGCTTACACTGAGGGCTTGCTCAACGCCAAACTAACCCAGGTTTCTTTTTCCCTTTTGTCCCTCTCATTTCCTCATTACTTGTGTAATCTTCATTTGCTCTGCTATTTGCACGGTGGAAAAGCCTAAAATTTTGCAAAATTCGAGTGTTAAGTTCAGTCATATAGAATCCAAAGTGTAAAGGAACATTGCGTTGAAAAGTTTAAAAAGATGGGTTGAGATTCATGGGATTCCAACACCAGATTTCTACTCGTTTTAAGGAGATAGTTAGGGAACAAGTTACAGTGTCTGATCCAGGATTGTCCACTTTCTGTGTGTGGAAAATTTTCCTTCAAATTTTCTTATTTTCCAATTTCTGGGCGTCCATGGGAAAATTTTGCGGTGTCCAAGGGAAAACTGTCCTTCACATTTTCTTGTTTTCCAATTTTGGGTGTCCTTCAAAGGGTAGATCCGCCACAGGGAAGTTATCACAAAATTTAAGCTTGTTCCTAGCTTTTATATGTAGAGCTTTAATGCTGCATTCTTGTGAAAAGGGTCTTTGAGAGAATTGTGTGTTATCAGTTTTATGCTCGGGTATGCAATGTCCATGTGTCTTCTATGTTGTCCAAATCCTTACGGTTAAAGGAAATTTACAATAAACCCAACAATGTTTTGGTATTGAAAGAAAATCACTTGTCTGGCTGAGCAATTGATTATTGGCATGGTGGAAAATGCCAATCCAAAGTGCATTCATTTTGTCTCCTTTTGGTGATCATTGACACTGGTAAAGAAGCAACAAAATTGTCTAGAGGGAAACCTGAGAGGATATAAGAGGGAGTTGTGAAAGATGCTTCTCTTGTGCTTGCTAATACAGTTTGCCATCCTTTCAAGTTGGAGATATTTGTTGTTTGGACAATCAAGTTGGAGATATCAGCGAGAGGAAAATTGAGACAACTTGAGAAGTTATATAATGACAAAGACGTTAAGCAGCTCTTCATTTATACTGTTTCTAAGATCAAGTAGAAAATTATAACCTTTTTCTATTCTATCATTTCCACCTTCATGTCTTCCCTAGATCTGATTTTTCCATCTTCCCTACTTCCAAAGCAATCTGACGGTGATTATCATCTTCACTTTATAAAAGTTGTACTTGGTTCATGTGTTCATACAACTGAAGATTTCTTGACAGTGAGAAGCCTTGACCCTTTCCAGGTCTTACCAGAACCAGTTGTCATTTGATAAATACCTGCATTTCTATCCACTTGGACCTTGTATATGGACCTGCGAGTTCTCAAGCCCTGAAATCCATTCCTATATTATTTTACTTCCAAGGTCTGTCACTTAATATCTGACGTGCAAAAATTATCTAATAATTAAATACCTTGTAGTTATTTATCTATGTCAACTATTCTGGTATTTATTTAAATTTTTTCATTTCATGAACAGGGGTTTGGCTGTTGTAAATACCAATCAGATATTTTTACCCTCTAAGAACTCTTAGAAACTTTTGTGAATTTGGACATGAGGCTGACCATTCACTGTAAATTCGCAGCATGCTTCCATTTGTGACAACTTTCTATAATGATGAAAAGCAAAATGTCTGGTTATAGTTTTTGGTTTTACTTACAGGATGGTTGTATTGTTTGTCCAACAACTGATAGCACATTTGATCTTCGGACTGGAGCCATCAGGGAATGGTATCCAAAAAACCCAGTGCTGCGAGCCCTTACACCTGCTTTGAGGACACTTTTCATTTACCCTGTAAAAACAGACGGCCAAAATATTTATATCAGCATGAAAGGCAGTGTAAAATCTGATGCAGCTGCAGAGATTGTGTTCAGTGGAAAAGCTCAACCTGGTGTAACAGCTACTGATGTCAATGTGGATGAGGTAACTAACTACATCTGCTGTCATTTATAAAGCATAATAATTCAGACTCATGAAGCATGAAATTAACTTGTCTGATTTTTTTTTTTGCATATGCTGTTCTTTAGGTGAGAATGGTAATTGATGAGGACTCAGAGGGGTTTGGTTTCACGGGGAAGAATGAAATTATAAATGGGAAGGCAGCTATCATCGGTTTCCTGCTGTTGCTGGATTTTGAGCTCTTGACCGGTAAAGGTCTTTTAAAGGGAACAGGCTTCTTGGACTTTATATATGCTGCTTCAGATGCCTTCAAGTAGATTTGCCATTTCATTCACATGAGGTTGCTTGGTCTTTTTATTCTCAGTATTTTTTCATGTCAAAAACTCTTGAATCCCCTGGATATTTCATCCAAAGTTGTATATTTGTCTAAAAATTTGACCGCATTGATTATTTGTATTTTGAACCTGATAATTCCTATTCAATATGTACAACAAAAATACCAATTTCACGAAACCAACAACCCTTTATGCTGTTTGTTTTACTGCATCTTGTATTATCTGCCAACTAGTTTTTCTTACATGTATGCTAGTAAATGGACTGTTTCTGAAACTACAAATCATGTCTGCCGATGACAACACCAATAAAAGGGGTGAACTCAGGCTGGCTGTCGAGAATGTGAGCCCATGAAGGCCTGGTTTGGCACTGAGGTGGGACCGGGCTTTTGTACTAAAAATTCCATTTCACCCTCACCTCAAGGAAACAAAAAAAAAAAAAGAAAGTGTAGATGGCCGAAGAGTTTTGTTTCGATGAGTTTAAAAACAATTGTGTGTTTCGGTGAGTGAGTTTAGATAATATAACGGTTAAATTAAATTTAATAATGGATATATATATATATATATTTCGATGCAAATATAACAACGGCAGTGAGATTTTTTGACTGTCCTAATTGTTCACTGGATATTTTTTCCTCCAGTTTGCTAACCAAGACAATTGCATTGCGGACTGCTCTCAAATGCACCCCCAATACAATTAACGCAAAAGGAGTTAACCCAAAAAGAGGGTTGGATACCACTGGGCTGGAATCCAAACTAACCTAAAAGGTTTGACTTTTGAACCATAAAACCTCTGCTTTTGTGGTCTTAAACTACCTTCTTTGGCTAAATTTATTTATTTTTATTCTTGTATCACCAAGCATTTATTATTTAATACATTTTTGGGAAGAATTTTGATGAAATTTTTTAAATAAAATTTGTTCAATTTTTATTAAAATTATTTAATAAAAATTTTAATAAAAAATTCTAACCAATAGATTGATAAAATTTAATGAGACAAATCAATAATAAAAATGCAGTTTATAATCTTGAATTAAATATTTTTTCAAAATTTTTATTAAAAATGCATACTTAAAAAATTTATTAAAATTTTTTAAAAAATTTGTGTATTTGATCTATGTAATAAAACTTTTTAATTATCAATTTTAATTTTTATTTAATCAATTTTAATAAATTCAAACTTCATGTAAGAAACTTCATCTAAATATATTTTTTTTAACTCCCTCCACCTAGTTAAATAGTCAATGTGACTTTTTTTGGGTCAAAATTTTATAACTTTGATTACTATTATCTTAAATATTTTAATTAATTAAATTTTAGAAAATCTATATTTAGAAACAACTTCATTTAAAGTTTTTAAAATATATTTTTTATATTTTTATTTGTGATAAATATAAAATAATAATAGATTAAAGTTTAAAAATTTTGAAAAAAAAGTCAATGTCATATTTTTATTGGGATGGAGGAAATAATAATTTAATTACTCATGATAATGTCAAATATTTAAAATTTTAAACTATATTTCTTTTTGTCACAATTTTAAATGCATTTTTTTCGACTATAATTATAATGTTAAATTAATTCAGTGCAAGTAAATTTGGAGCAGACAAATTTTTAATAATATTTCTAGAGCAGAGAAATCTTTCATTTTTTTGATTTTTTTTTTGAGGTATGTGAGAATTTTTTGTTACATAGAAAATTTGAATTTTATTTAGTTGAGTTCAATATTTAAATTTTATCTAACTTTTATCTTGAATAAAATTTATTAGAATGACCAAAGTTGATACCTTATAGTAATAGATTAAACTTTAGTGGCCTATTTTGAAATCAGGTTAAACTTTAATGACCTTTTATAAAATTATATAAGTTTAGTTAGCCTTAAGAGATGATGTGATCGATGATGTGATAGCTATGTCAGTCAAAATTTGGATGGAATATGCTAGGGTGACCAAGTTTGATCAGTGATCTAGATGAATACATTAAAGTTCAATAAGCCAAATGAAATTTGCGTATAAATTGAGTGGCCTTTCATAAAATTTACCCTCTTTGATCTTTTTGCATAAATTTCTTTCATTCTTTTCCTTTTACTTTCGTTCCTTTGCCCTTAATTTTCAACAGTTATTATTATTTTTTATAATTATGATAATTGAACTGATTTAAAAAATATTTAAATAATAGGAGTATTTTATTTGTCATATATAGAGAAAATAAAAAATAGAAAAAAATTAGTTTAAACTTATTTTAGTTTTTCTTTTTTTAAAAAAAAATATTTTTCATGAAAAATATTTATCTAAAAATGAAAAGAAAAATAAAAAAGAAAAATTTTTAAAAATCACTTTTCCTTATTTTTTTTAATTTTCTTTTGAAAATATATTTTTTATTTAAAAAACTATATTAAAAAAAGAAGATTTTGAGGCTAAATGAATCGATAAATGATAGCTAATTATGCTACGATATGTCGTCAATCCCAGAATTTTTAAAACCCCAACTTTTAGATTTAGGAGTTTAGCTACTTAATAAGGTATTAACAATTAGCATCCAATGATGCATGTTAAAAGAACTATTATATTAATTAATCATATGTTATTTGACATTGCAATCTTTTTATTTTTATATTTAATTTCATCTCATCACTTTTTTTATTTTATTTTTTGTCTTTTTGGTTTTTTTATATATTAAACATTGTCAAAAATCTTCCAATACTTTAATAAAATTTTTCTAAAAAATTACTCATCAATTGTATTGAAAAAAAAAAGATTTAATGTTTATAGTAAAATGAATTTAGAAAATTTTTAAAAATATTTATTTTCTACACTTTTTATTTATTAAATTTATATTTATATCAAAATGAACTTAATATCTATTGAACTTCAATTTATTCAATATTATAAAATTAAAAGCAAAATATTGTAGAAATTATCGTTCTTTTATTCATAAAAAATTGATTTAGTATCTATTGGGCTTTAGAAAAAATTTTATTGGACATTTTTTATTTGGGCTTTGCTTGCACAAAAATTGTGATTGGGTCAAATTTAGAGCTAACTATAATAGTCACTTTTCTTTTTTCTTATATCAAAAACCCTAAAACCATTTCACAATTTTTTTTCTCTATGCCTTTCCCATCTCTTTTTTCTGTTTTTGTTTTATTTTTTTATTATACTTTTATATGCTCCACATCTTTGTTGGTTGCCATTATCACTGTGTGGACATCAATTTCGTCCCCCAAAAAATAATAAAATAAAATAATAATAATAATAATATTACAAAATACGAAATACAAAAAAAATATTAAGAATAATATAAAATACAAAACAAAAAATAAAAAAAAAGAATAGAAAACAGAAAAAAAAATTGAGGATGGCAATGGTGCCACTGCCACCATACCTCACCATGCTTTACCCCCCACCACCTAACCTTACCACTGACAGATATGGCCAAAAAAAATAAAAGAGGCATGAGGCTCATGTTTACACCCCATGCTGAGCCCCATGCCCTTCCCCCCAAACATCCATGGCTAGAGTTCTATAAATAGAGCTCCTAGTGAAGCCAAAACACACAGAGAGAAACAGAGATGGAGGGAGAGATTAAAAAAAATAAAAAAATCAAACAGTCCTCCCCGTAAGGAGGAACCCAGCACCGAGCTTCTTGCACGAAGAAGAAAAAAAATGGGTCAGTTTAAAAAAAAATCAAAATACAAATAAAAAAATAGTCTCACCGAAACTTTGAAAGCAGATCTAGAGAAGTGAGGACTCTTTTTAGTGAAAAAGAACTCGGATCTGAACTCAAGAGGCCGACGGAAACATTTTGATATTTTTTGAAATTTTTTGATAACCAACACGACAGCCGGTGACCGACGAACAATGACGACTGTGACCAGCCGACACTGCGTTCGACTAAAGAAGAAGGAAAAAAAACAGGCTTTTTTTCGAAAAAAAAAAAGGAAAAATGACTGAAAAAAATTGAACCTTTTATATAAACGATGAAAACCAAAACGACGTCGTTTTGATAAATGCCCAAAACTATGTCGTTTTAAGCACTCAAGATCCGCGCGTCAACCCGCGACCCGACCCGGGGTCCGTGCACCCGACTCGTAACCCGCTTCCTTTATCAGCCTCTGACTGGTCTGATTGAACTGAAACTGAATTGCCCAGACAGAACTGAACCGGTACTGAACTACTAAGCCACCCAGATCAAGTTGAACCACCGGACTGAATCGCCGAACCGAACCACCGTTGACCGGACCGTTAATCGATCTGGTTTAGGTTAAAAATTTTTTTTTTTGAATTTTTAAATTTTTTTATATATTATTATTTTTGTTATTTTAAGTTTTTTTTTCTTTTTTTTATATATTTATGCATGATTAGTTTTAAATTTGTTAAGATAAGTTTTTTTAATTGTTTTAATAATAATAAAATGAAAATAAAGTAAAATAATAATTAAAAAAATTAAATAATGCTTAAATAATAACAATAATAGATTTTTTTCCCTGCCTAGATGTTGGAGGGAATTAAATCATATTTTAAAAATAATAAATTTCGCATAGATGTTGAGAAATTATTATTAAAAAAAATACTAAATAAGTTAATAATATTTTTTATAATAAGTTTTCATAAACAAAGAACCCTTTTTTTAAAAAAAAAAAAAAACAAGAACATTTTTATAAAAAAATTATGTTTCTTAGATTAATTTTTGTAAATATTGAACTTGCTCCAAAAGTTCGCCTAGGTGTTAGAAATTTTTAAAGATGTTCGCGTTTTCTAAAACCCTTATAATCTGAAATCCTTTAAATCCAAACCCCAAAATCTCCAAATTCTAAAATCAAAACCCTAAATCTTCCATATCCTAAAATTCAAGCCTTAAAATCCTCTAAACCTTAAAACCAAACCTTCAAAACCTCTACTCAAACCCTTACTCAAAACCTTCAAAAACTCTTAAGGACATGTATGAGAATCTCATTTAAAATTATTTGTTCCCGAATGCTGCCTGGATGATGGGATATTTAGAAAACTTTATTTCATTAAGTTTTTCATACGAGTTCTTAATTTGCTTTAATAATAAGAGTAACTACAAAAATATAATAATGAAATGGGATCTCAAATATAAACAGTCGCACCTAAGCTCTGCCTAGATGTTAGAAAGTCGGGGTGGTCTCATTATATTTAAGAATCCTACTCTAAATTTATATTTCGTCACTTTGCATACATACATTATCATGTTATTTGTATTGTATTTCTCTGTCTTTAATTTTCATTTGTTGCCTACAATACCATCATTTATTTTCTCATATAAAATTTTTCAAAATATATAATTTTGATATTATAAAATAAAATAAAAATAACATTCCGAAAAAAATAATTCTTGGTACTCTACCTAGATGTTAGAGAGTCACTAACAATTATTTTCTATAAAGATTGTTATTT